GCTGGGATTATGGGTGTGAGTGCTACACCTGCCCTAGGGCAGATAATCTGCCTACAAATGTGAGGGGAGAGAGGCTTGCTAGCTGCTGAAGCTGCTGCTCCCCCCCCCCTTTGCTCTTTGCTGTTTTCTGCAATCATGAATAGCTGCCCTCTGCCCTGTGACACTCTGCCTTGGAGCCAGCTGAGTATGGACTGAAACCTCCACTAACTGTGAGCTAAATAACCTTTTCCTTCCTTGATTTTGGGTCTCTTGTGTCAGCAATGAAAGAAAAGTAACTCAGACACACATGTACAATGAAAAGATGCATATTAAATACTTTAGTATGACTGTTTCAAGAAATGGGAATGGGAATAAGATAAAAATAAATAATAAATAAGAAGAGCGCTGCATGAAATAGTGATAGAAATTTAGCATAAATTCACAAGTATAATTAATTCAATCCTCTTCAGTTCATTTTAGAATCACTAGAATTTACTGGTAAAGCTCTTGCCAATTCTTGCCCAAAGGTCATTTTCAGGTTATATTTATGACAAATTCACTTAATGTTTAAAAGAATTACATAAAATTAGGATCAACATACACTTTAAAGGGGCTCCAGCTAAGCCTGCTCTACTCCAACACCACTCTCAGCCAACACAGCCACTGAGTAAAAAATTAAGAAGCATTCATGAGATTCCTGCCCCATGTACAACACAATAGATAAAGAGAATCATTAAGTTGCACTTTGTAAATATAAAATACTGAGGTGAAGGGCAAAGCGAATGGTAGCAATCAAATCACCTTTAGCCAGAGTTCTTGGACGCCTTAGCAGTGGAGGTGGCCCCATCACTGGACGGAGTGACTTCTAGTGGGGCCCCTCAATAAAATATGACCAAGAGATACACAGAAAAGGAAAATCATGTAACAAAATAATTTCCAAAGACCTCAGCCTGTGGTGTCCAGTACTACAATGAAAATGGGCCCATTCTCTAGAAATGAACCAGCATCTACATTCTTAAAATGTTCTCTGGAAAGCTACATCTTTGCATGACTGTACAAATGATTAAATAATTAGTTATATTTTTCTGAAAGTGACTAAAGCCCAAACACAGTAGCTTTAGACATTTGATCTTATTTTAATCTTTTGTTTATTTATTTGGTACAGGGTTTCACTATGCAGCTCAGAGTCATAGTGATCCTCCTGTCTCAGCCTCCCCAGTACAGGGGTTATAAGCGTGCACCACCATGCCCAGTTTCAGTGGCCAGCATGGCAACCCCAGGGTTCCAGGGCCAGCTTGGCATGTGGTATCAGGGATCAAAGCCAGGTCCTTGAGCTTGCCAGACCGGCACTTAGACCAAGGGGCTATCTTCCCAGGCCCAGTAGCTTTAGACACACAGAAGTATCTCCACACTGCATAACATCAAAAGTCCAGTAAAGAGAAGAAAATTATTATTTCAGAAATTGGAATGACCTTACACCAGTTGTTCTTACACTAGTGGTTTCTGAATTTTATCATATCATTAATAATTAGTGAATCATCAGCAAAAAAAAATGCAAATGTAATGTGACAGGATTATGCAGCAGGTATAGTCCTAATGTTTTAAAGTATGTGTTAGTACAAATATGAAATCCATATTGCTGAATTCATGTACCTACAGTATTTAAATGACAATGGAATGCCCTTCTCTGACAAAATTAGCCAAAAATGGGAACACAAATGAACGACCATTTTGTATCTGTATACTCAAAATAGTTACGATAGATATACAGCTCCATTCTCTTAATTTAATGAATAGAGAGGTTTGTGCTAATAGTGTTTGAGACAGGATATCAAGTCTGTGTCTTGTACAATGAATAATCATTAAGACAACAATATGCAATGTATTCATTATGGAAAATGTGCTAGCAATCAGTTGTGAAACTGTCTCATTACTATTTGGTTCTCAATAAAAATATTTTAAAAAGAAAAAATACATGGGTATGATTTCTTTACAATACCACCAGTTATCTCCAAACACAGTGTAAAGAAAAGTACCATTATTCCATCGCTGTTGTTATCAGAATTCTTAATAATTCCAGATCTCCCTGGCCAGACAAACTGATGCAGAAGTTTGGAATATAGAAACTTGTACGTGCTGACACTATTACCTGGTGGGCTTTTTTCCATTTGTGAGTAATGTGAAATCAGTGCTTTGATTTGCCAGCCTTTTTTGGAACCCAATAGGCTTTGTGTTTCTCCTTCCTTATTTTGATGGACCTGTGTTTTTCAAAATAAGTTCTAGTGAGGAATTTAAATTCTTTGGGGCCTTGATTTTGCCTCCTGAAATGTTTCTTGGAAAGCCATGTCTTTGAATGACTGTGTAAATGATTAAGTAATTACTTATATTTTTTTCTGAAAGTGACTAAAGCCCAAACACAGTAGCTTTGGACAGACAGAAGTGTTGCCTCACTCCATGGCATCAGAAGTCTAGGCCACAGTCATCAGCCACCCAGTCTGCTCGATCTCCCAACAAGGCTGTGTTTTCGGGTCTCAGCGATTGCTTTATGGGGCTCCAGCCATCACATCAACATTCCAGCAAAGGAAGAAAGGAAAGAAGAGAACCTGTCCTCTCTTTTCAAGGAAACAACTGTTAGGGTGCATATTCCAGTTCCTCTTACACCTCATTGCCTGTGCCCATACTTTGCATATACCTTACCTTCAATGAATCTGGGAAATTAAATTATTCCACGCAGTGTGCCTACTACAGAAAGGGATTCTGTCATAACTAAAGAAAAGGAGAACGCATTTTGGAAGATAATCAGTCACACCATCCTAAACAACTCAATGTTATTTTTTTTTATTCAGAGACCAAGGAGATGGCTCAGTAGAATAAGTGCTTGCCTGGCAAGTGTAAGGGCCTGAGTTCAATTCCCGGATATATATATATATATATATATATATATATATATTCATTTTAAAGAGAAAAAAGATAAAATAGCAATGAAATAGTTTCAAAACAGGTTAGTTAGATGGTTAGAATAATTAATACATTGCCTATTGTTGTCTTCATAGTAGCTATTCAGAGGACAAGATGCAGATGTGATATCTTATCTAAACAATATTAGCACAAACTTTTATTCTTAATGAGCTAAGAGAAAGTAGCTGTATATCTATCCCAATCAATGTTAAATTTTTTTTATGTACACTCATTTCCCATCTTGGGATAGCTATTCTAGTATCCTTGTACAAGTCCCAAAAGTCTTTACTACTAGGAGAATGAAAAAACAACATCAGAGTATTTCCAGTATTTAAGAACTATTAAATGCTGTGTTGATCTATTTGTACCTTTTATTTCACTCAATTCTGGCAGCAAGCATTAGCCAAGTAGGGAAAATTAAGATTCACAGCATTGGTATGCAAAGTGAGGAGAGTTAAGCTTAGAAGCCTTCACAGCTTTGCCCACTATGCTATGTACTGAAGGACAGTCCTCTTCTCAGTAGAAACCACAAATTTACCTTGTCAAGTCTCCCCACAAACCAAGATCTTTTTCTTTTTGAAAGAGCCAATAAAAACAATCAGATTGTGCCTGCATCTATGGGAAGGAATTGCCAACCATGCCAAGGGAAACAGGAGTTCCCCAATGTTTTGATCTTTACAGACTTACTATATTTTGTGCCCCATGGTTAACTCTGTTTTGTTTTATCACGTGCTACTCAGAAGTCTGCATACCGTTCTAGCTCACTCCTGTTCCACACAGCACTGGCATGGCTTCACCTGGCTCCTGCCCCAGAATAACCCCTAACATCCAGGAGGCAATCCAGCAGCCCTCCCGTCCTCTCAACTTTGGAGTACACATCATCTGTCCCCTTGCAATCCACAGCAACTGAAATCATAAATGTGGTGGGAGATGTTTGCTGAATGTCTAATCTGGGCTAATGATGTAGAAATGATCTGAGTTCGAGTGAGATGCCAACTTTATTATTCTCCCCATTTTCCAGATGAAAACTCGGGACCTCCGAAGGACTACCTTGCCCTACTTCTCATAATTAATATGTAGACAAACGGGAACCTGAACTTGCTTTTGTCCAAATAGCTCTTTCTGTTAACCTACCGAGCCGCAGGTAATGCAAGAGTCACTGCTTTTCCTCCAGGAAGTACAGTTCTGTGAGGTGAACAGAAACGCACCCTCTTTGCAGGCGAGTGTTACTGGCACCAGCAAGAGGAACAGCTGGTCCCACACAAGAATGTAGGCCTTGTGTTTTGTGTGCGTGGCCTGCCCTCTGCCCCGGGACAAGAGTCTCTTACATCTTTGCTTCCTACATCGCTGACATAACCCAACACACAGTAAGTGTCCATAAAGTGGTCCGTGCTTTAGAACTAGCTCAGCACCACAGAAAAAAAAGAAAAGAAAAAAAAACAAGAACCCTGACAAATGAGGCAGCTGAGGACGAAAGCCGCCCTCCCAGCCGAGGTGCTACCTGCCTCAACTTACACGCCCTTCTTTTTTTAAATACATAAACTAGTTTTACCTAAAAATCCCAGCATGAGGGATGAGGAGAAGGACAAAGAAGAGAAAAAGATATGTTTTGGCATCTATGCACCATAGTTTGGATAATTATATGGTAGATTTCTGCTGATTTTTTTGAAAGGAGCAGCAAATACTTAATATTTTTTCTTTTTCATTCTTTTTTTCTTTTGAATTTCTTACAACTTTTTTGTTATTGCTTTGTTTTTTCTTTAAACGAATCTTGCATGTTTATATCTGGTAGCCTGAGCAACTAATATGAAGATAGCACTGCTGAACTCCTATTACTCCTATTACTTTATTTAGTGAAATTTTGAATGGTTTCTAATGTTGGGTGCTTTTTTTTTTTCCGTCACCGTTTTGTATTCTTTAAGATATTAAAAAAGGAAGAGACGGGGAGCGGGGGGCTCGTCTGATCCAGGGGCCCAGAACCAAGGAGTGGCGGAGTTTGAGAAGCTAGCATCTCGGGGTTCGGCGACAGCAGCCCCATCGGCCGAAGTTCGGGGTGGGGGGGGGGTCCTGGTCTTTGGCTTCTCGACTCGGTCCTGTTTCGACAGCGAACATGTCTCGGCCTGTCAGAAATAGGAAGGTCGTTGATTATTCACAGTTTCAGGAGTCTGATGATGCAGATGAAGATTATGGAAGAGATTCAGGTCCTCCCACTAAGAAAATCCGATCATCTCCTCGAGAAGCTAAAAATAAGAGGCGATCTGGAAAGAATTCACAGGAAGACAGTGAAGACTCAGAAGAGAAAGATGTGAAGGCCAAGAAGGAGGACTCTCATTCCGCAGAGGACAGTGAAGATGAAAAAGATGATCATAAAAATGTATGCCAACAGAGGCAGGCAGCATCTAAAGCAGCTTCTAAACAGAGAGAGATGCTCCTGGAAGATGCGGGTAGTGAGGAGGAGCAAGAGGAAGAGGACGAGGCACCATTCCAGGAGAAAGATTCTGGCAGTGATGAGGATTTCCTAATGGAAGACGATGATGACAGTGACTATGGCAGTTCAAAAAAGAAAAACAAAAAGATGGTTAAGAAATCCAAACCTGAGCGAAAAGAAAAGAAAATGCCCAAACCGAGGCTAAAGGCTACAGTGACACCGAGTCCAGTGAAAGGCAAAGGGAAAGTGGGTCGCCCCACAGCTTCCAAGGCATCAAAGGAAAAGACTCCTTCTCCCAAAGAAGAAGATGAGGAACCTGAAAGCCCTCCAGAGAAGAAGACATCGGCAAGCCCTCCACCCGAGAAGTCTGGAGACGAAGGGTCTGAAGATGAAGCCCAGTCTGGGGAGGATTAAAAATGCTTGTAGTTTGGGGAGAGATTTTATTAAAAAAAAAAAAGAAAGAAAGAAAAAGAAGAAGAAAGAGGGGAAAAGAGAACCTACTTAAGATAGAACATGGTTTGGCTATGGCTTGACTCATGGGCTTTCAGTGCTTTTTTTCTATTTGTTGAATATAATTTTTTTTCTCTCCCTCTCTTTCCCCTCCCTCTCATTCACTCTTCCTCTTTTTCTCCAGAAACCATTGTATATGGAAGTGTTTAAGTTACCTTTGTGTCTGTTGGCCTTCTCTTTGCTACCACCCCTGTTTCCCAATGAAAGCCATGTCACATTAATCACTGGACTGACTGCTCCATCTTTTTCTTTTTAACGGAAGATGTACCACATGTGTGAAGCAATAAGATCTGAGATGGAGACAATGGGAAGAACTTCACTTTTGGTTAAAATGACATAGCAAGTTGAACAGTAATCAAAAAACATAGACAGATTTTAGGTAAAAATAATTGCTTCTTTCTCTACCTGGACTTCTAAAAAATCAATTGTCATCTAATATGAGTTTATATATCTATATGCTAAGTATAAATGTCTAAAAAAAAAAATCATGACTCTTAAACTGATGAGTCCAGTAGGAGATAAAGGTGAATTCTGAATTGTTACTAAAAGTACTCATATTTTTTACCTTAGTGGGTGGGTGTGGAATGGTGGGGATACTCAACATGTTTGGGGGTGTGGGTTTTCATTTTTATTTCATCATTTATCTCAAAGAGACTTGGAGCCCATGATCCTTTTATCCAGCTAGTCTTTAAAGAGCTTAGAATATATAGGGGCTGCCAAAACTGAAATCACTCTTGATTTCATACTTTATTCTATAATGGGTCATGTTTTAAAAATATATATCCTGTTTTTTGGATAAAATTTTACCAAGGATAAGAGAAAGAGAAAAAAAACCTAGAACTTACTAACTGGCAAGATGGATCTACACATCACAGTGAGTTTCTTTCCAAAATGACAGTGTTTAGGTTGTACACAAAAGTTCCAGTTAATGTGAAACTCAGTCACAAAGGGTTGAGATTTTTCCTGTATGAAAGTAGAATTGAAATTCTTTTATGCTGTAAATGTGCATTCAGAGTCCATTAACCATGCTAATTTTATTTAGGGATAGAACATTTTCCTTTTACACCCAGATCTGCCCAGTTTCTTTGTAGAAACGTGCTATGAGATACACCTGTCCTTTGCCTGCTGCTTTGGACCACCACACCCAATCTGGTGCCCAGCAGCTCTGCTGTAGGACATTTCCAGGTTCTGTTCTCCACGTACTGACAGAAGGGAGGTGTCATAGATGCCACTTTCACATACTGAGTTGGTCTGGCCCCCTGCTTATTGCTCATGTTTCCTAAAGAGACAGACTCAGCTGGACTAGAGAAACCTGTGTGTTTGTAGGAGGCCCGTGTGCCATCAGTGTCAGGACTTTTTATGCCTTAGGAGAGTTAAGTCCAGAGATCTGTAGGTTTGAGCCTATACATCCTGCTACTGTGTGCTAGTGGGAGCAAAGTTTAAGGGTCCTAGTAGGTTAATCAGAAATTTAGCAAATTTGAACTGCTTTTTTCCCCCCTGCTGTTTAATCTAGATTTGCTTCTTTAGTAGTCTTATTTTTGTGGTTTTGTAAGTGGCAACATGTTTTCCTCAGACAACATGGCTTTCTTGCAGATATTCCCAGGACAATGGGTATTTATGGGTTTTTGTTTTGTTTTGTTTTGACCAAGTTATCTAAGAAATATTTTTACTCTGGTTTTTAAGACACTTTGAGGAATGTTCTTCACTTTGTAAAAAAAAAAAAAGTGTCAGAGTCATTTCTTTGTTGCACTGTGTGTTAAAGAACAAATAAAGAATATTTAGCACATGAAAAAAAAAGATATTTAAAAAAAAAAAAAAGCTTTTTTGAATCCCAGGGTGAGCAACAGCTGAGCTGTCTTAACCCCTGGGGAAATGTGTGGCGGGACCAGAGGACAGATTTAGGTCATGTGACAAAGGAAGCAGCCACAAGACAGAGGTGACAGAGGTGACCAAGTGGCGAGCACTCTACTGTGCTCAGAACTGAAGTTCTTTTGTTTCCCAAAAATGTTTATCAAATGTCTAAGAGTTCTCTCCACAGCCGCAGAGGTAAAGGTATTAGCCAATGACCAAAACGGACATCTGAGACAACTGATGGACAGGCCGCTGCAATAGCAGATTGGAACTGAGAAAGCCAAAGCTGTAGAAATACAATTCCTCAATTGACCGAGTCACAGGGCTTTAAGTCTCCAGCATGTGCAATTTCACACAGGGAGACAGGACTCTCTATAGCTGGAATGTCATCCTGAACAGTGAGGTGCGGGGAGAGAGGCCAGTCATTTGTACATGAACCCGTACAAATCAACATGAGAAACAGATCGGTACGGGGCAAGAAAGAGAATGAGTATAGCCCGAGAAAATGCATGGAGACCAGTGTGGAAAGAAATGAAGAAAACCCAAAGAAGGGCGCACAAAGGCTCTTTATTCCGAGCTTGTGAGATAGCAAGCCAGTCACTGTTGCTTGCATTTGACAGAGGCTCAAAGGCCAACAGAGGAAGAGGAACATGGTATGGTAGGGAAGAGGGAGGGCTTCAGCAGGCCCGGCCAGAGCAGCCAGGCCCGGGGGGCTAGAGGCAGGCCCAGGGGCGTCCTACTGCAGGTGTATACTTAGTTTTCCCTGCTTGGTCTTAAATAAGAAAATGGGACGAGAATTAGGGATGCTGTCAGCTGTTCATCAAGTCTCGGCCTTTTGGGGCCAATTACTCCAGAGGTGATTGTTTGGCTTCCTGGACTACTGGCCGGAGATGGAGATCAGACTTGGAGATAGCAGGCTGCCTTCCTGCCTGGGCCCTGTAAATAATAGATCTGCTTCCTAGGCTAGCTGCTGCAGACTGTGAGTCAGAGTTCTATTTTTGAGTATGGCCTGGCCTTTGTATATTCAGTTCCTCACCAGGGAAACACACGTTAGGGAAATCGAATGCAGCACTAAAGGCAGTGTGTGGCAAATGGCCCGGCTCCACCTGCTGCTTTCTTGTTGTGTGATTCGTGCCAAATTTCTGGACTTTTTTAGCCCTCAGTTTCCTCATCTGTAAAATGGATCTACAGCACAGGAGTTTGGTAAAGATCAAGTAACATAACGTCTAGTAAGTGCTTGGCATAGTGCCTGGAGCATGGGATGTAGCCAGCTCACATTATCTGCTATTAATGCTAGCGTTAGTAGTAGCTCTTTGGCCTGACTTAACCATACAATGAGGATAAAAGCCCAAAAGGATATCACTCCAGCAAAAACTCTACGGAGAGGCTTAATAGACCATGAAGACTATATTGAAAGCTCTGTGTGATAATGAAAGGATTAATTGGGAAAGGGAAGTAAATTCCCTACCCAAGAGAATGCACAAGAGAAACGCTTTTGATATCCTTACTGTCTCGTGTTTGATTGATAAGTCGTACTCTTGAGAGTAAATTTACTGCAGAGATCACATGGGAGTGATATGGGGGGAGAGTATCGGGGCGCTGTCTTAGCTACAGTCCTCATCACTGGGCCAAACGCCTAACACCAGCAACTTAAAGGAGAAGAGCTCTCGTTGGGTTCACATCTCAGTCTGTAGTCGAGACAGCACAGTGAGCAGGAAGCCGTGGGTAAAGAGAGGAGCCCAGAGGAAAACAAACGCTTCCTCCCCACCAGATCCCATGTCCTAATCGCCAGTGGGCCGTAAGTCTGTAGTCCAGTCACTTTGCAAAAACCCGGCCCATGAGCACCATGGGGCTCTTGGGGGTCATCTTGATATAAACTGTAACAAAAGTTTAGTCTGCAGAATTATGCAATGCAACAACAAAAAAAAATCCCATGGCATCTTTAGAGAGAGGCACTGACTTATGTCTACTTTTTTTTGTTTTTGTTTTTGTTTGTGGAACCGGGGATTGAACTCAGACCCTTGCACTTTCCAGGGAAGCACTTATTCTACTGAGCCATCTCCCCGCCCCCTAACTTATGTCTACTTTACAGGCAAGAAAAATGAGGCTGAGAGGAACAGATATCTAATGGCCACAGTCAAGATTCCAAGAGAAAGGCTTAGCAGCTAAGGAGAAGCTCTCAGCAAATGGGGTGGGGAGTGTTGGATAGCTCTCTTAAGAATACAACCCACAACAAGAGATGCTTAAATATAACTAAACTGAGAATATATGACACAAAAGCTTATAACCCCCAAGTTATATGATGAAAAATCCTTCATATTATGAACGGCTTGCATCTTCCATTTTAGCACTTCAGAGAGCCACAGTACTTCATTATTTCTTCTTGCTGTATTTTGCAAGTTTCTTGTGGAACTTTCCTGTGGGAGAAGATGCCTGAAAGGAGCAAGTCATTCTGTTTTTAACAGGACCAAACCTGCAGCTCTGGCCCCCAAGACCCCAAGGAGCTCACCTAAATGGCTCCTGCTGAGGCAGGCTTTGGTTCAAAAAGCCTGAGTTTGTAAGCAAAGAAGCAAGCCCTAAAAATGCTTGGTTGATTTAACAAAGTAGTTTGTACCTTCTGGAATGTACAAGTTGTTAATAAATTGCATTTCTTCTCTTTTTATAGAGTACATTCCTGGTGTGGTATTTTGTTTTGTGTTTTATGATAGGTGCTATAGTTTCAGGGTTTGAATATGGGTTTCATTAATCCTTAATTTGGGCCTCTAGCAGAAGGAACTGAGCACTCTCGTCTTGGTGCACAGTGCCCTCTGCTGGACAAAAGGAAATCACATTTACAAGGCTTAGAATGCAGTGGATGCTAAAAGCCAAGGAAAGGAACAGGTGAGGTGGTACAAACCGTCACCCCACCCCTTAGGGTGGCAGAGGCAGGAGGATCACAAATTCACACCGTCTGGGTAACTTAGCAACTCAGTGAAACCCTGTCTCAAAATTCAAAGTCATAAAAAGGGCTGGGGATGGAGCTCAGTGTGAACATCTTGGTTTCAGTGCCAGTACCAACACCTTCACCTCAAGAAAAACACGATGGGGAGGCTCCGTATGCCAAGCAGCGGAGATCATGGTTCTGTGCTTCCCTGGGGACACTGGAAGAGGTTGCTGTGCCCAAGGTGGCCTCCTAGACCCAGCCCCAGTGGAGGGTGACAGAGTCCCTGACTTCTGTAATTGTTCTAGTAGCCAAAGGGGCAGTGCATGTGGTCACTGCTGAACTGAGAAGCCTAACCAGAAATCTAAACACCTAACCATGAGTTACATGGTTGAGTTTAATCTTACCTTCTCAGCACCAGGACTCAAACCAAACCTTGGTGGCTAAAAGAAAAAAGAGGTTTTTGTTTTTGTTTTTGTTTTTGCTTTTGTTTTTTTGAGACAGAGTCTTGCTTGAGCTCACTTTGGAGACCAGGTTGTCCTAAACTCTCCACAATCCTCCTGCCTCAGCCTCCTGAGTGCTGGGACTACTTACAGGTGTGCACCACCATGCCTGACTATCGCATAATGTTTAGAATGACTCCTGGAAATTAGATCTTCCTCGACTCTTAAATTCGAGGCAATTGGGTTATAAAACATAGAACTGCGCTCAATG